TGACAATCCCAGTTCCCTTCTCCCTCCCTTCCTCCCCTACTAACCCCCCCTCGCAACTAAAACCCTACCTACCACATATCCTTTCTTCTAATCTACACCTGACTCAACTTTTCTGCTCCCTCACGACCTCTGCATCCTTCCTCTTCTTCCCTTCTCATTCTTGTAGCTCCCTCCCCCCTCTTCCCATTCTCTCAATTTGTTCAGGGGATCGTGACCCTTTCCCCTTCTCCAAGGGACAAAGTTTGTCTCTTTTCGGGTCCTCCTTGTTTACTAGTTTCTCTGGCAGTGTGGATTGTAGGCTGGTAATCCTTTACTCTATGTCTAAAATCCACATATGAGTGAGTACATGTTTGTCTTTTTGTGATTGGGTTACCTGGAATTGGTTCTTTCTCTTCACAGTTTTTGGGTCTCTATGGTTGAATTTCAATCACCAGGCTTAGGGAGTAAGCATCTATACTGGCTGTGCCATCTCATTGACTCCAATGGACCTTTCTGAGTAGAAATAGGACCCATGTATAATGTTGCAACTAATAAATGCTTTCCAGCAGAGGATATAACCATTGCACAAAGGTCCTGGGATACTGTGGTAGCATTTCAGTTTGTTAGTTGGTATCTCTACGGTGTCTGAGAGGTCTCTGTGCTTGATGGTCTTTCCCTGTTCCAAAAACCTCCCACCTTTGCAGGTCCACAGGGGTCCTTTTTCCCTTCAGGGCTCCCATTGGCCTCTGTGCACTGGAGACATACAGCCCATCCCAGCCTCTTGGTTTAACTCTCGAGTCTCCTGTCCTTTGGTTGCTGTGTCTTTGCCTCTTGGAGATCAAGGGCTGCATTCTGGCCTGGCATAGTGGCACAGGTCTGTGACTCCAGTTGCAGAAGAGTCTCAAGCAGGAAGGTCTTGAGTTTAAGGCCAATCTGAGTTATACAGGAAGTTCAAGATAGTTATAGACTATAGAGTAAGCCCCTGTCTCAAAAGGGAAAGGAAAATTTAAGATTAAAAAGGGTCGGAGATGTACCAAAGTTGGTGCAGTGAGCTTTTATGCATGCACAAAGCCCTGGATTTAATTCCCAGCATCAAATAAACTAGGCAAGGTGGTGCATGTCTGCCATCTTATTACTTGGGAGGTGGAGACAGGAGGATCAGGAGTTCAAGGACCTCCTCAACCACATAGTTTAAGGCCAGCCTGGATTTACAGGAGACCCTGTCTCAAAAAAAAAGAAAAAAGAAAAGAAAGAAAGGAAAAGAAAAAAGGAGAGATGTCTCAGTGGTTAAGAGCACTTATTACAGAGGGGCCCTAAGTTTTATTCCCAGCCCTGTAACCCCAGCTCCATGGGGTCAACATCCACTTCTGGCCTCCCCAGGCACTCACGTGTATACACACACCATATATATTTATGGTGGTGCTCGTTTTCAATCCTAGCAGAGGCAGGCAGATCTCTGTGAGTTCAGGGCTGGCCGGGTCTACAGAGTGAGTTCCAGGACAGCCGGGGCTATTGCAAAGAGAAACCCTGTCTCAAAAACAAAACAAAACAAACAAATTAGCAAATCTCAAAACTAGCTGTTTTCCATCAGAACTGACTTACGTACGTTGTGAGCAAGGCCTTCTGGAACCTTCTTAAGTGGGGGTAAGGATGATGATTGTCAGAGTTGAGAAGTTGGGGTGAGTTCCTTCTGGAGACAAGCTCAGGGTGCCTGGTTCAGAGCAGGTGCTTGCATAAGCAGTGGCCATTGGCAATCACCATCAGTGTTGCCAGCCAGCAGGACTAAGCTGGGGTCAGCCCCTGCAGGTACTTAAACCAGGCACCAACAGGGAAAGTAGCAGCAGTGGATTGTGGGTAGAGAGTGGAGACCAGGGTAAAAGGGTAGGGGAACCTGCTATCTGCTGCCAGCAGAAGCATCCAGAACATTCTGCCTGCTGGGAGCCTCTCCAGCTAAGAGTCCAGTCTCCCGATGTCTGCAGGCTGAAGGAGCGCTGGCCCTGAGGGTACAGACAGGACTAATGGGAGGAAATTACTCGAGAGATTTCATCGGGCCCCGAGGAAGCCTACCAACCAGTCAGAGCTGGTGGACCATGGCAGCCCAGCTCTGCTGAGTTCTCCAGCTGCAAGGGCGTGGGAGCATAAGGAGGGCTTCGACGGCACACAAGATGCGCAGTTGTTGTTATACCACAGGTCCCCCTAAGAATGAGGGCAATCCTCTCTATTTTCCAGGTGACTCTGCTCTGCCTTGATCCCATGAGCCTGGGCACACATCTGACCAGCTGTAGGGTAACTGGCTCCAAATGGGGGCTGCGGGCTGCTTGGGGAGGGGCCGTGCTACAGTAGATCCATCTCAATCGTCCATTGTGGAGTTGGAGTCTGTCAGCTTTGTGCCCAGTACCCTTTTCATCCTGCTAGAGCCAGAAAGGGCAAAGATTGGGAGGCAGAATCTCCCTCGCTTACTTCAGTTTGTTCTAAAACCAGGGACAGGAAGGAGAAAGATGAGAAGCAGAAGAGGAGGAGAGCTAGGGTCTCGATTTTGGTTTTGCCATTGACTTTGGGAAAGTCACCCTGGGCTTGTGGGATGTCATGATCAGTCACACTTCTTGTCTCTTACAAGGATTCTTGTGATGATGAGAGGAGTTCTCACAGCTGGAGAGATGGCTCATGAGTAAAGTGCATATCGTGCAAGCCTGATGACCTGAGTTTGATCCCCAGACCCCACATAAAGGAAGGAGAGAAACAATGACATAAGACTGTCCTTGTGGCATGAGTGCTATCCCTCCCCCCCGCAACAATAGCAGCAAAAACAAAGATCAACAGTGAAAATAATAAAAGACTAATGAGATGACTTAGCAGGTAAAGTTTCCTGCCACCAAACTTAACAACCTGAGTTTGATCCCCAGGACTCATATGGTTGAAGAAGACAAATGACCCTACCATGTGGTTTGAATGGTTGAAGAAGACAAATGACCCTACCATGTGGTTTGATCTTAACATGTGCACTCTCAAAAAAAAAAAAAAAGTAATAAGAAAATGAGCAATTTTGGGGGGTGTTTTGAGACAGGGTTTCTCTATGTAGCCCTGGCCATCCTGGAACTCACTCTGTAGACCAGGCTGGCCTCAAACCCAGAGCTCCATCCGCTTCTGCCTCCCAAGGGCTGGGATTGATTATAGGTGTGTGCCACCACTGCTCGATCTTCAAATAAAATTTTAAAAGAGTTATTGTTTTTAACATAGTTCCATATTAATGAAATAGATAAAAAGAAATAATTGGACAGCTCAGCCCTGCCTAGGATTGTACAAGGGGCCTTACACCAATTGTCTTGTTTAGCATCCTCAATGGCTTAAAGGTGGAAGGACCATTACTAGAAAAAGTGAATCCAAGAAGATCATTTTCATGTGCCTTGCCCAAGGTCGAGCAATGACAGGAAGCACTCTCTGAGGCTGGCAACTTCTTAAAGGAGTGGTGGTGCCCACCCCCTGCCCGCAAATGGGTGAAATATACCAGTCAGCCCCTTGGGCTGGAGAACTGCTGGATGGAGACTGGGTTACAAATTGTAATCCTGCTGAGCAACCTCCCCCATGGGGACCAGAAAGTAGGGAGTTTCTGGGCTGGACAGTCCCAAGGTCAGAGGAGGGGCTGGCTGCTTGTCCCACAATCCTGCAGAGGGAGCTGGGCCACCATAAACAATCTGGAGGGACAGGGCCTGAGAGCTGGAAACCCTGGTCCCCTGCTTAGTGTCTGAGCACCAGGCTGGGACTGCTCATATCATTTTGACTCCTTCACTGGCAGAGATGGATGCCCAGTATATAGCATCTGGGCCCAAGATGACTCCAGACACACGCCCAGCACTTCACTGTGCACCAGTGCCTTCCTGTCTGTTATCTCCTGTGTACTGCAACCCTGAGCACTCTCAGTCCATTTCACAGATGAGGAAATTGTTGCTCAGAACAAGGAAGTGAGTCACCCAAGGGCTCACAGCTCAACCCTGGTCTTCGGGCTCCAAGTTGATGCTAGCTCTGCAACCCAAAAAAATTTCCCTCTCCTAAGGTGAGAATGCCAGAGGGCAG